CTATGGTTTCCATTTTGAGTGTTTTTAGATAAATCACTTGAATCTTCAAAGCAACCCCACCTTTAGGTAAAATGGATACTTTACCTCTATTCACAAATCAAGAAACTCCCCACTAGCTGGGTACAGTGGCTCATGCCTGTAATCCCAGCACTTTGGGAGGCCAAGGCAGGCAGATGATGATTGAGCCCAGGAGTTCGAGACCAGCCTGGGCAACATAGTGAAATCTCATCTCTACAAAAAATAAAAAAATTAGCAAGGCATGGTGGTGCGTGCCTGTAATTTCAGCTACTTGGAATGCTGAAGTGAAAGAATTGCCTGAGCCCAGGAGGTCACATATTTCTGCCATGAGCTGTGATCATCATGATCATGCTACTGTACTCTAGCCTGGGCAACAGTGAGACCTCAACTCAAAACAATAGTAACAACAACCAAAAAACTCCCACCAGCGATGACACAATTTTCAACAAAGACCTCAGTGCTTATTTGTATAGTGTTTAGTCCAAACAAGAACCCAAGGGTTCTAACTTTAGTTGTAGCATTCTCTACACTCTTCTATTTAATGTGTGGGCCATACACAAGCAGCATGAACATCCCTTGGGGAAGATTCATAAGCATACTAATCCTCTGCACTCAGAGACATCTCACAGATCACCTACCAGCAACTTGACTGAACTTTTTTACCAAATAGTGAAAAATGAATAATTTCAGATTAGATAGTATAGCATCGGAACCAATTATTTTATTGTAATGATATTTGGCTTATAATGGAATTTTGGACACTGAGGAACTTATTTCGGACCAAAAAAATCAAAATTTTATATCTTATTTTTCTAACGTGCAAAACAGTGACTGACTCACATTGTAGGCTCATTGATACAGGTTGTGCAACAGTAATTTATTGGAAGTCTTCCACCTGGTGTTTTTTATTCAAACAGACATTGCAGTCTTGTTTTCTTCCTCCCATATTAATAATATGTGATTTAAAGCCGGGCTTGGTGGCTCAGCCTGTAATCCCGCGCCTTTGGGAGGCTGAGGTGAGTGGATTGCCTGAGCCCACAGGTTCGAGACCCGTCTGAGCAACTTGGTGAGACCTCATCTCTACAATAAATCAAAAATTAGCTAGGCATGGTAGCGTGTGCCTGTAGTTCCAGTTACTTGGAAGGCTGAGGCGGAAGGATCGCCGGAGCTCAGCAGGTCGAGGCTGCGGTGGCCAGGAGCGGCCACTGCACTCTAGGTGACAGAGTGAGACTCCAACTCAAAAAAAAAAAAAAGTAATTTAAGCTGGTGGCTCATGCCTATAATCCTAGCACTTTGGGAAGCTGAGGCTAAAGGATTGCCTGAGACCGTGGGTTCAAGACGGCAACACAGCAAGACCTAGTCTCTACAATAAAAATAAAAAAGTTAGCTGGACATGGTGGCACATGCCTATAGTTCCGGCTACTTGGAAGGCTGAGGCAAAAGGATTACCTGAGCCCAGCAGGTCGAGGCTGTGGTGGCCATGAGCAGAGCGTGCTATTGCCTGGGCGACAATAATGAGACTATGACTCAAAAAAAAAAAAAGACTGGGTTTGGTGGCTCAGCCTATAATCCCAGCAGTTTGGGAGGCCGAGGCGAGTGGATTGCCTCAGCCCCTGGGTTCGAGACCAGCCCAGGCAACTTGGAGAGACCTCATCTCTACAATAAAATAAAAAATAGCTAGGTATGGTAGCATGCGTCTGTAGTTCCAGCTATGTGGAAGGCTGAGGCGGAAGGATTGCTGGAGCCCAGAAGGTCAACACCAGGGTGGCCGTGAGCGTGCATGCCACTGCACTCCAGCCTGGGCGAAGGAGTGAGTGAGACTTCAACTAAAAAAAAAAAAACACAACAAAAAACAAAACAAAAATAATAATAACAACAATAATAATAAGTACTTTATTGTCCAGTCTGTTGTTCAAAGACGATGTGGAAGGACACAGTCATGATTCCTGAAAACCACTTTTCAACTGATCAGTCAGAAGCTTGATAAATTTCCAATGGGACATAGTTTTCTCATTTTTGTTTTTGATGCTCAATACAGTATATAGGAATTAATATAACATATTTCTAGTTCCCAGAATAATTTCCTCCACCATTTTAAAGATTTGCAAAAAACAATATGTAGAAGCATACTGATCCACACAATCCACATTGCTCATATTTTCAAGTACTGAGAATTGCAACAATCATTTTGTCCTTCCATGCAAAAACCATAAGATTATTTTTCCTATATATTACTGTTTTTTTTAAAATGGTGGTTTTTAATTTGTACTGGCGGTATTCCCTTTGAGTTGACTTTGATTGTACCAGTAAGAAAACATTTCATCTTTAGTGGCTCTTCTGCTAGGACAATACTAGTGTAATAACTGTCAGCAAACATGTGGTATCCTACTGCATTGGGAACTTTTTCCAACAACTTTTTATATAAATGTAATAGAATTTTGGTGCTTACTGTAATATCAGATCGAATGATGTTTTTGGAAGTTAGTTGCTATAGTAGGGAAGTTCTGAAAAAAGGTACCCTGTTTTTGAATCAGCTAGTGCATAAATGTGCTTACCCCATTTGGTAGGCTTATTTGGATTGTATGTTATAAATTCGTCAACAAGTCGGGCTTGGTGGCTGTAATCCCGCACCTTGGGAGGCTGAGGTGAGTGGACTGCCTGAGCCCGTGGGCTCGAGACCCGCCTGGGCAACTTGGCGAGACCTCATCTCTACAATAAATAAAAAAACTAGCCGGGCGTGGTAGCGTGCGCCTGTAGTTCCAGCTACTTGGAAGGCTAAGGCGGAAGGATCGCCGGAGTCCAGCAGGTCGAGGCTGTGGTGGCTGGGAGCAGCCATTGAACTCCAGTCTGGGTGACAGAGTGAGACTCCAACTCAAAAAAAAAAAACCACCAAGCTCGGTGGCTCAGCCTGTAATCCCGCGCCTTTGGGAGGCTGAGGTGACTGGATTGCCTGAGCCCGTGGGTTCAAGACCCACCTGGGCAACTTGGTGAGATCTCATCTCTACAATAAAATCAAAAAATCAGCCGGGCGTGGTGGCGCATGCCTGGAATTCCGGCTACTCGGAAGGCTGAGGCGGAAGGATCGCCAGAGCCCAGCAGGTCGAGGCTGCGGTGGCCGAGAGCGGCCACTGCACTCCAGTCTGGGCGACAGAGTGAGACTCCAACTCAAAAACAAACAAACAAAACAAACAAACAAAACAAAAAATTTGTCAACACAAATTGCCTGGCCTGGTATAAAATACTGCAAAAATTTTGAATCGATGTATTCCAAATAATCATTGGCCTTCTGAATACGAGTCCTGATGGTTCCATCACTTGACACACGTGTCTTCAAATGAAGCATCCAGAAGATTTGCATAAACCTTTCTCTAATGAATGCTTCCAAAAAGAAGAGTATTTTACTACTGAAAGCAGTTGACCAGTACTCTTGCAAATTTGGTACTTGAGTTATTCCCATATTTAGGATAACTGCGATAAAAGCTAAAAATTCCTGTTGGTCAACGTCATGGAACTTACACCAAATCAATTTGTGTAATAGCTGCTCTTTTCCTTATTTTTTCATCTCTATAACAATTTGTTTCTTTTTATTACACTATCCACTAATTCATTTGTAAAATACAGAGTAAAATAGTCAATCGGTTCTCTTATATTACTTGCTATTTGTGGTCCTGTTGTTTGAGGATGTACAACAAAAATTTATTTTCACTAGAGGATCGGCTTTTTCTGTAAAATCTTCCTATTCTACTCTTGTCTATACGCTATCTTCTACTGCTTCAAAACTACTAACACTTTCATAGCTCTCACTTTCCATTACATTTGTCATTTTCTTCTTGGTGGCATGATATCAATATCGCTACTATTGTTTTCTTACACATCAATGTTTACTTTTTCTTACTTGTCTGTACAAAAGTCTAAATCTAACTCATCTCCACTGCTACTTACATTATAACTCTTGTCTTTTCATTTTGCCATTGTTCTATAAACTAAGTAAACAGATAAAAAATTTCTAATTGCAAATGTCAAAAAATAAAATTTATCAAAAGAATATTAATTTTCCAATTTTACTTTTCCAGCTTACTGCAGATAGATATATTCGATCTGTGCTGCTTGATACTTCGATATGCTCTGCCTTCAACTTTTTTTTTTTTGAGTTGGAGTCTCACTCTGTCGCCCAGACTGGAGTGCAGTGGCCGCTCCCGGCCACCACAGTCTTGACCTGCTGGGCTCCAGCGATCCTTCCGCCTCAGCCTTCCAAGTAGCTGGAACTACAGGCGCGCGCTACCACGCCCGGCTAATTTTTGACTTATTGTAGAGAGGAGGTCTCGCCACGTTGCCCAGGTGGGTCTCGAACCCGCGGGCTCAGGCAATCCACTCACCTCAGCCTCCCAAAGGCACGGGATTACAGGCTGAGCCACCGAGCCCAGCTCCAACTTTGAATGTCTCTCTTTTTTTTTTAGAAAGCAGGTTTTATTGAGAGGACAGAAAAGCTCACACAATGGGAGAGAATCAGAGAGGGTTGCCCTGTCTCTTTCTTTTAAGGCTACAATAAATTATTTATCTTTTCAAGTTATGCCATATGATACAAAGGGTATACCCACAGCTGTCTTTTTTATACAAACGCTCTGTATTGCTATCTTCTGTTACAAAGAAGTGTGTCCACCATTGTGGAAACACTTCATACATTCTCCTTCTACCTAACACCAGCTGATTTATTTTTACGTATATCTCAGTATATATTCCATCTCTATTTGCTTTTTCATGCAATTTGAATGGAAAACTTCAAGGAAACTTACATTTTTGAAATATTTGCACTTGCATAAGTTTGTCCTGTATAATTACCAGCAATCTCTTCATGTCCCCTGAGAGAGGACATCAGAGTGCCAAGGTTATTTGAGATGACTGCTCCAAAAGGGATTATGGTGCCTCTTTCTATGGTAATAAGAGATTCTGTCTCAGAATTTGAAGTCAAAAATCTGTCTTACCTATGCAGCCTTCGTTATCCACAAAAGTTTTAGATTTCAGTACACGCTTTCGTTTTCTTTTGTTTTCTCCACTTGAGCTCTGAAAGATCAGCAGAAGATCAGAGGATACAGTGTTAAACTGACTGATTATGCTATAGAGAAAAATAACACAAGCTTTAAAATCTATAATAATCACTCTCCAATATCCCAGTATGATAAAAAAGTTGACAGAGGAACTCTACACTTCACTTTCAGGAGAACAACTCAACCACACAGACCAGTTATGCTCATTGTATGCAAAGGCTTGACATTTTGGTGTTTATGAGAAGAATGGAGGTATGCCAAGGAAAGAAATATGATAATTCAGTTAAACTTTTGTTAGGTAGAGTAAGCACCATGGTTAAAAAGAAAAAAAGGATAAGGACCTTAGTGGAGAAGAAAGACAAGGAAAGCAGACCACTGCAATACACTGTGGAAGATTGGGGCAGATATTATTATTAAGGAGACAAGGACAGTCTTTAAACTAGACCAAGGGTTTCTATGGCATATGCCCTTGCTGTAGATACTTGTTATGGCGGCCTTGACATCTCAACATTATGTGCATCTAATTTGGTCTCAAATAGGTATTACTAATATCAAATTCCTTTTATCTCCACTGGTCTCTTTCATCCCATGTTCTCTTTAGCTAATGAGGAAATCAATGTAAGATTTAAATGACAGACTCAATACAATGAATTAAAGAAAACTAACAGCCACCAAGAAAAAACAATTGCCAGCACCCATTTTCTCAACTCTTCATTATGTACACTAATAGATGTAGATCACTCAAAACTAGTTCCCCATTGGTTGCCAGTTTTTCTCATCCAGCCCTTTGCCAGAGAGCTTCTGAAGAGCAATAAATGTACAGGGGGTTGTTTGTTCACACTTTGCAGACAGGACCTCTTTTTGCACAATTCCAACAGGAGTTGTACAGCACAGCAGAGATGCTGAAGGTCATGAAAACAAAACAGCTCCCAGGATCCATCTCTGTAACTTTCCCAAGACTAGGCCCTGCAGCAAAATCTCCCTGCAGGAGAGAAAGGAGGGGATGCCCAATCTGTACAACTTTAGGAGAGCAGAATGAGAAAAGAACCATCTACTGAAATCTGTGAAGTATATAGCAAGTGAACTAGTTAAGCAAAGTAGCTTTAGGTCCTTGGGCAATAAAGGACACATGGAAATACAAGCATCCCAGTGAAGTTTTACCTTGATGGAAGGAGGTTCAGGCTCAGTCTTTGGCACTGGTTCGAGAGGTGGAGACTCAGGAGGAGGTGGGGATGGTGATTCAGCTTCATAAGCCCCAGGAGAGTCTGGGAAGACTGAAATAATTCAGCAAACTTAAATAAGAGAACTACAAACACTATCTAGTCCAATGACTTCTCCACTGGTCCTCTAAATGTACATACCTAGCAAAGCGCATTTTGTAAGCAGTAATTCATGATAACTAAAAACTTGCAGTTGTATAATTATCTTTAAAATATACATTTTATTAATTTGATATTTATACAAATAAAACCAGAGAATCAGGAATTATTAGAGCTGGAAGTACCTTAGCTAAATGCTTTCTTTTACAGCTAAGTCAGGGTATGAAATGGTTTATAAATATCCACTGATCACCTATGTGTCATGTATTTCACTTTATCCTCACAACAACCGTAAGAAATGGATATTATTATTATTCACACATTACAGTTGAGTATTCAGAAAGATTCCTTAACTTGCCACAGTCATACAGCTTGTAATTGAGAAAGGAGGTTTCAAACCTAGGTCTGATTCTACACCTTTGCTATTCCAACTAGTCCATGGTATCTTACCATTCAGGACCAGACATTTTCTCTTAAGATCTAAGTGGAGATAATCCTTAGATTGTACTATATATTCCATACCAGAGTCTTTGACTGTAATCTAAGGATTACTTGCAATTACCTGAGATGTTTGTTAGACTGAAAATTTCTAGCTGACATTAAGAGTATACACTTTGGGGCAACCCCTTTGGGTCCCCTCCTGCTGTGGGAGATTTTTTGTCCTCTCAATAAATCCTGCTTTCTCAAAAATAAAATAAAAGCTAAAAAAGAAAAAAGAGCATATACTTTGGGAGTTGGGGGAAATCATCTTTGAAATGATGATCACAATTAAAGCTCTAACAATTAAGACCTGTTCAAGCTGGGATCGTTGGCTCAGCCTGTAATCCTGCACCTTTGGGAGGCTGAGGTGAATGGATTGCCTGAGCCCGTGGGTTCGAGACCCACCTGGGAAATTTGGCGAGACCTCATCTCTACAATAAATCAAAAACTTAGCCGGGCGTGGTGGCGCACGCCTGTGGTTCCAGCTGCTTGGAAGGCTGAGGCAGAAGGATCACTGGAGCCCAGCAGGTCGAGGCTGTGGTGGCCGGGAGCAGCCACTGCACTCCAGTCTGGGTGACAGAGTGAGACTCCAACTCAAAACAAAACAAAACAAAACAAAAAAAAACCTGTTCAATATTTTATATGGGAACTACAGTAAGTCTCCTACATATGAACTTTCAAGTTGCAAACTTTCAAGATGTGAACTGTGTTCGCACATCCGATCAGTTAGTTCACATGTCTGGCATACATTATTATGTGCTGTACTGTAAGATTAAAAACATTTTCTTTTTTTGTTTTTTATGTATTATTTGTATGAAAAGTATTATCAACCTATTATAGTACAGTACTATAGCACAGATTGTGTTAGTTGGGTACCTAGGCTAACTTTGTTGAGCTTATGAACAAACTGGACTTATGAATGTTGCTTTCAGAACAGAACTTGTTCATATTAGGGGACTTACTGTACTTCTAGTGACTGCCCTACTGATAAGGCTTGTTCTGCCACATTGAGATTAATAGTAAAGAATACTTTTAGGAAAGAAATATTGCTATGGCATCACCCAACAAAAGGGAGGGCCCCATCAAAGGGATCCCATTATTTCTCAATAGTTACAGAATTAGTGGTCTTAGTACAAGGTCCATGAAGGGAAATGAAAATCCTCAGCTGACCTATTCTTAATCACCACAAAGAAATTGCTGGTTGGGGACTGGGTAGCTGCTTAACCTCACCTGCTCCCTGAATCTCCTGGCTGTATTCAAATGCTTAGCACAAGTCTTGGATCTGAAATACTTGCGACTGATTAGGTCAGTGTTAAAAATTATGACAGCAGAGGGTTCAAGGCCAAATGACCTAAAGAGGGGAGGCAGAACAAGAGCCAGAACAAAACAATAAATTATACACTTCAAGTATGAAATGAGCCCCAAAACTTTATACGCTCTGGGAAACAAGAGACAGAAACATAAAAGGAAAGTGGTCCAGTTACTAACCCAGCTCTGAGAGGCTAGAACACAATGGGAGCATAAGTAAGAAAGCAGGCATCCATTGTTCTGAACAAATAGCTATTAAGAAACCTGGGACACAATGGTAGATGTGTTACAGTGGTAGGAGGAAAGTTTAGGCAGCAAGGAAGCCAACGAAAAGGAATTTTGAGTACTCACAGTAATAAATGTAGGTGTTCTTATTCTACTTCCAGTAACCACTTGACTTAACCAAGGAAAACAATCCTAGTGGTCCCCTCTAATATCCCACTCTCTGCACCATATCCAACTGTTAGTTTATCTACATTCTCACTTTGGACTCTAAACTCCAAAGATGCAGAGACACCATGATTTCCCTGGCACTGAACACAGACTGCAAGTATTTTTTTTTCTTTTTAATAAAGAAAAAAACATCACTTTCTGAACTAAATCTGGAATGAGGAGCATTCAAAGAAAACATGTATCTCCCTCTTCTTTCCACATATTCCCCAAGAGAAGCATTATGATAATAAGGGAAGAGACTGTTATAACCCTTCATAAGAGGAAAAGAACAGGAGCCAAGAGCCCTTAACGATTAAGAAATTTCAACAGGCAACCCCTTTGGGTCCCCTCCCACCTTCAAAAAGAAAGAAAGAAAGAAATTGCAACAAATCCCTGGAAGATGGAAGGCAGATGGGAGATAGTCGACAAGCCAAGTATCAGTCAATTAGATAACTCAGATAGTAGAAGTTACTATCTATTATACCACTTCTACTTTGTCTGCTTTTTAAAATTGTGTATATCTATTACTTTGTTCAAACCTTAAAAATATTCTAAGGATAAACAACTAGCATTTTCTAGAATTTACAAACATCAATTATTCAATCTCATAATAACCCACAAAATCACTATTATTTCTGTTTTATACAGCTGAGGTTCAAACTAAAAAAAAAAAAAAAAAAGACTTGCCCACACTCACATGCTAGATTCTGTGTGTGCTTCTTTAGTCTTTATCAAGCCAAACATTCTGACTCAATACATTTCATTGACATAAGCAAAAGGAGTGTTTGATGCACTGGTGTATTTGATGCATTGGTGTATCGGTGGCAGAGTTGCAGCTCTTCAGATGTAAGATACTCAAGTAATGAAATATCATTTATTCCAGAAAAGTAATCATTGTTGGGGCAGAATAAAAACTGTGGCAAAACTAATTCAGGGATCCAGCAATGTAACCACTTGTTTATCAAAGAGTTCTCTGGCAGCAATGAGTAATTACAATTCCTAGAAAGTACTCACAGCTTCCTAGGACTCAATATTTTTAAAAATACCTATCATTACCAAAAAAGAAGAGGATACTTTGCTTAACATTCTCTACAAACAACTTGCAAGGATTGAAAATGTTAGCAAAAACATATCAATTAGAGCTATATTTCTTCCTAGCAATGTAGATATCATTCTTAATGTTATTTCTTTCTATGTCTGTCCCATTTTTGGCTTTACGAAGAAAGTATGTAGAACTACTAAAGGTACTTATGACCCCACCAGGGTGAAAGAGAAAGGAATAGTCCCTTGGGTAGAGAGTTACAAAAATGGAGTTGAAGGGAACTTTCTGAGAGAAGGTACTTGCAAGTATATTTACTACTGTAACACCTCCTGGACACCTCAACAAGGAAGAGTGGAGAGAGTAATAAGAAAACCTATCACGTATTAAACACTACCTTAGCATTTTTGATACATCATCTTATTTGATGTTCACAAAAAGCCTACATAGTTTGTGATAACATCTCCATTTTAGAGCTGAGGAAACAGGGAATCAAAGAAGTAATCTGCCTAAAGTCACACAGTGGTGGAGGTAAGATTTAAGTACTTGCATTCCCTCCACTCCTACTGCTCCTTTTCTAACTTCTAGCTTAAGATAGCATATTGAATGGTATGACATATTCAGTGTAACAGAAATAAAATAATAATAAGTTAGAGACCATGTAAAGGTTTAAAATAAAATCCCACTGGCTTTGAGAAAAAGAAATTTAAGAATAAAATGGCAGAGGATTATGTATTTAATCAGATGCCAAAAATTATCTTTGCCAGAGGAAAAATATCTAAGAGCTTCTGCTCTGTATCATCTGTTATTATAGGTTCTCCTCTATCATATTTCTTCACATTCCTTTCAAAACTAAGTAATCCCACTTATATTTCTAATCACCCACGGGTATTACTTTTGTGGGCTATGGGTCAGAACTACAGAGACTATTCAGAAGCACGTAATCAGTGCTCAATCAACCCCAGTAATTCCTTGACTTAGAGCTGACTCCTTCACTAATACTGGAGTATCTAGTTTATCTTTTTAAATATATATTAGGCTGATGGCTTCAAAGACTTTTCCAGAATCTTCCCAAGGTCTCTTCCTGATCAGAAATAGGGAAGACTATTCCAATTAGCACATTCCTAAGGTTATTTCGTAATTATTTTCCCATGTCTGCATGGAGTTGTCCACTTTTCTTTCAGTAACCCTGGCCAAAACATTTTGATAAATAACATGGAATAAAAACATAGCAATTGCCCCTCTGGGATGCTCACAATGCCCTACCCCTATTCACTCTAAAAAGTCATTAAAAAACATGTCTCTGAAGGGCACTGTACTTCTCACAGGATATCAGAAGCCATAGTCCTTAACATGTAAGCATGAATGGTAAAATCTAAATTCACAGAAGATGAATTTAGATGGCACATTTATCACAGGAAGATTCAACTTCCTAGTACTATTTCTTAAGTCTGCTCATTTCTTTTACATTACTGTCTCATCTGTATATGTATAATTTGTTTTACTTACTTTTAGAGATCAGCTAATACTCTTTTTGGGGTGCCTCTGTAACCACTTCAATTCTTCTTAGAGCAATTTCTTGGTAAAAATAGCCTTACAAATTTAATTTTGTCCTTTGATAGCACAGCAGGTTCCTTTTCTATATTCATTATTCCTCTTTAATCCCCCTTAGTATCAGTATATTATTATCTATGTACCTTTATGTGATGCTGAATTCCTTTGGACTAGATTCCCACCCCCACTACCTAAAATATTTTATAGCCATTATGCCATGAATTCATGGACTACAGTAGCTCAAGCTTTTCACCACTGGTTCTCAAGCAGGCTTTTCAGAGTAAGGTCATCCAGTATGTCAGTTCAGCCCAGTGGCTTTCTCTTCAGCTTCCCCTTTTTTCTATATACTTTCCTTTATTCAATATGAGAAGAGATCTTGGCTATTAAGATCCTTGATATTCTTTTTAAAAGCACATTAGTTTTCTTGGTGAGATTCTTGTCCTTATTCTGTTTGCTTATCTTACAACTTCAGTCCATAGTGCCATCCCTTTCCAACAATGACACTGCAGACTGTCCCCATTTACTATAGTTTTACTTATGTGGTGTAGACCATCACCAATAATACCCTTCATACTAGAACATCACAGTTCTTAAAAGAGTCACATGAAGGTAGCCATGGGAACAACCCCCTCTTAAGAAAAGAAAATGTCTTAGTTAGTATGTATAATAACAATAATCTTTATCCTCTTTCCCTTTGTGTTAGTCATTTTGGCAAGTTACCAGAAGATCACAAACAGAAATTGGATTTCAAACAGAAATAGGGGTTATATCCCTCTCAATTCTAGAATTACTACTCTCATTGTGATCCTACAAAAACTACTTTTTTAGCTCCTTGAGCATCAAAATAAAAATTGATCCCTCTCACCAAAATCAGAATGCCCACCTTCATCTTCACTGCTATCAGACTCCGGAAGTTTGATTCTTCTCCTCTTTCTCTTCATGTTTTCAGTTTCCTTTGTCTCATCATCAGATAATTCTACTCGCTTCCCCCTGTTGCTATCCAAGAATGAATTAAGCATGTTACACAAAACAAAAATGTAAGTATCTGTATACTCCTGTGGGTTTTACTTTATAACTCACGATCTTAGTTTCAGAGGTAGAAGTTAAATAGTCCATTAAAGATTTTACTTAAGGATACTCTGCTAACTGACCACAACTAGTTCACTTCATAGGATGACCAGAATAAAAAGTTTCTCCAGTTTTCTATAGACTGTTAGTAGTTATAACTAGGTTTAAAAAGATCTCCTCAAATTTCTTATTTCCCCATTGGCCTTTCAATCACTCAACAAACATTAAATAAGCAGCAGCTACTACCTACATACAAGGCTCTTTGCTAAACACTGAGAACACAAAGATTCAGAAGAAAACATTGTTCTCAAGAAGCTCTGGCAAACACCACTAGCTACAATATAATGTGATAAATTTAACTGAACAAATAAAATATTATGGAATAACTTTTATTTGAAATTTTAAAAAACTATATAGGAGCTCATCAGTTGGAAAGGGGAAACAAATATTTTAAAGAGAAACAACAACATAAGCAAAGGCATAGACATCCCTTAAGGTAATTTTTTTTTTTTTTGAGTTGGAGTCTCACTCTGTCGCCTAGACTGGAGTGCAGTGGC